TGCCAATGCCCCCCACTCCCAGCCCCCCGCTATCCCAGCCCCCCAGTTGAAGCAGGTCCGTTGTTTGCAAGTCTATTGGGGTTCCCCAGGAGCAGAGGAAGGGTCCCCGGGATGAGACAGGTCCCATCCCAACACACAAACAAGCTCCAAGCCCCGCCAGCGCCCAGGACAGGCCCCAGGGTGTGAGCTGGCAGGGTGGATGGATGACACCCTGCTCTCCACGGCTGCCTTCCAGCCCAGAAAGCCAACCCCTTCTACGAGGAGTGGTGGTTCCTGGTGGTCATCGCCTTGGTCGGGCTCATCTTCATCCTCCTGCTGGTCTTCGTCCTCATCATCCGCGGGCAGAGCAAGAAGTATGCCAAGAAATCAGACTCAGGTGAGCGCCCCTGCAGGCAGGGCAGGAGCTGACGCCCAGAGGGGCTGCTCGGCCCGGCGTAGGGGGCTGTGGTGCCACGGAGGCCGCGGTGCGGGAGGAACGGCCCCCAGACTCACCCGGCTGGGGACAAGGTGCTGGGAACCAGGGGGGCTGGCTCTGAGCCGCCCTGGTCTCAAACACAGAGGTGCAGCGCTGGGAGCCCAGGAGCTGTGCCTGGGTACGGGAGACGAGGGCGTTTCGCCTTCCCCGTCTGCAGCTTGCACCCCCCGTGGCTGTGGAGCCAGAGGGCCTGGCCCGTGGCTGGGGTAGACCAGCGCCGCTCTGCTGGAGGTGTGCCTGGATACACTGGTAGAGGGCCAGGGATCTCCTTCAGCTTTTGCCCTAGTTATTATGGTTCACGTCACTGCTGACCGGGCCTCTCCCTGCACCCCCTAACACTGGTGTTAGGGCAGAACGTGGCTCAGCCCGTGACTCCAAACCCAGGAGAGCCAGTGTCAGGGTGCGCACCGTGTTCCTGGGGTCCCTGGGCGTGGCGTGGTGCCTGCCCCGGCCACCCAGCGCTGGGAGCTTCCCCGAAGGCTCCATCCAGCAGCCTGATCAGTGGGAGCCTTTCCCTTCACTGCCCTGGCTCGCGGGTGAGACCCTCCCGCCTTCTGCCACTTCCCGCCAGCTGCTCTGCTGATGGGAGCGACACCAGAACCGTCCCCCCAGCACAACAGGCCCATCCCGCCCCTGCCTTGCCGGCAGACGCGGGTTAGAAAATCGCGTCACTGGCCGTGTTAATGTCGCTGGGAGCTCCAGATCAAACAACCGGCTTCTCTCATTGTGAGCTGCCAGCGGCAGGAAAGGTCACGGGATTAGTAAATGCAGCTCTGTTTTCTTAGCCAAATGAAGGGCTCAGATTGTGGGGCTAATGCCGCCCGCCCTGCTGAGTCAATACACTTGTGTAGCCGAGCAAGGGAGAGACGGCTGGCGCTGGGAGCCTGGACTCCTGGCTTCCAGTGCGGGCGAGTCACACCCAGAGCCTTTAGGGCTGGTGCCTGGGTTCGTGGGGCCCGGAGTTAGAAGCCAAGGGGCCCGATTCTCCGCCCCTCTGCTGCTGGGTGATTGCTCCCACCTGGACATCAGGGGCGTGAAATGCCGCCGCACCGTTCGCCCCACCGGTGCCAGTGTCCGATGGCAGCTGTGCCCCAGGAAACGCCCACCCCGGCTGGAAGGCAGGGGGCAGTTGGGCCCCAAGGGACTAGAGCCGGGCAGCTTGTGCAGCTGTTTGCAGCAGAACCCTGTGCCCAAACCCAGCACTTGCCCTTCAGGGATCTCAAAGCACTTTATAGCCATTAACGGGTTAACCCTTGGGGGAGATCAGGAAGCATCAGTACCCCCGTTTTAGGGATGGGGAAACCGAGTCACGAGCAGAGTGGTGATTTGCCCAGTGAGCTGCTGGCAGATCTCCTGATGCTCAGCCCTGATTTGCCCAGGGCCTGCTGCCCCATCGCTGGGCACAGCATGCCGTCAGCCCGCTGTCTGCTCGAGGGCCTGGGCACTTCACAGATTGCATGCCGGGCGGGATTTTACCATGCCCGCAGCGTGACGAGCAGGGCTGGCCAGATGCTGAGCTGAGACCAACGCCCAGCGGAGCACCAGCCATGCGGTCCGCTCCTCACGCCTTCAGCTGCCCAGACGGCTGGGCTGGCACGGGGAGCTCTGCGTAACCCGTGCCCCCTGGCCACGCTGGGGACCTGTGAAGAGTAGCACCCCGGCCTTGAGCCCCACGGAGCCGCCTCAGCCCTGGCGGGATGGCACTGCACTGGGATACGAGGGCTGGCTGGAGAGGGGGTGAGCTCGTCCCCCGGAGCCCTCCCAGCCCAGTTCGAAGCTGGTGCAGACCAGACTGAGTGATGAGACGGGACGGGTGAAGGCTGCCCTACCCCTTCATTGCCACTGAGCTTGCTGGGCGTGGTGCCCGCTGGCTGAGCTGGGGGGTGTCCTATGCCCACGCATCTGGGGGGAGAGGGGGGTTATTGGCCTGGGGAACCCCTGGCTACAGTGCACCTGTCTGCTCCCCCTTTCTCCATCAACTCCCTCCAAATCCCATTGCTTGTCTCCAGGCCTGTCTCGGGGAGCAGGCAGGTCCGGAAGGGTTGGCCCAGGAGTCCGAGCTGGTTCCGTAGCCGGGTGTGTGATGTGCGGGTTCCCCCCGGGGTGGGGCGCTGCCCCAGCTGATGGCTCCCCTCCCGCTCCGACAGGGAACAACTCCAAGGCGAACGCGCTGAGCCACGGGGAGATGGTGAGTCTGGACGAGGGCAGCTTCCCTGCCTTGGAGCTCAACAACCGGCGCCTCTCCGTCAAGAACTCCTTCTGCAGGAAGAACGGGATCTACACCAGGTACCGGCCATGGGGCTCAGGGCTCTGTGTGCCCAGCCAGAGATCTGGGGCCAGGCCCCCGCCCCCACTGCACCCCACTGCCCGGGTTACTGGTGTGCTGGCACCTGCCGGACACTCACCGACACCAACTGCCCCCACAGGTGGTTCTGGGTGGGGATGTGGAGCCCGGAGCAACAAAGGGGTTGGACGTGGCTCCGGATCGGGCTCTCCGCCTAAAGCCATCGGCTCCAGTGGGGCTGCCGCTGCTCGCCCCCCACCCATGACTGTTGTAGGGGGGCCAGGGCTGGGCTAGCAGGGGGCTGTGGATCGGGGTTGAGGGGCACTGGCAGAGCTGGGGGCGGGAGCCCGAGGCTGCGGGGCGGGAGTGTGGGGTGCTGGCAGAGCTGTCGGTGTAGGCGCTTGCTCATGTCCTGCCCAGCTCCTGCTTTCGAGCACCAAGCCGGCTCTCAGATTGGAGAGGGCAGGAGAGGAAAGCAGTGGAAGCCGGAGCCGCCGGGCCCCCGCTGGTTAATGGCTCAGCCCCAGGCAGGCCAGCAGCCTGCAGTGGGGAGGGTTCGGGTGCGGCCCCACGGCCGATGCTCTGAGCAGCCCTGCTAGCGCCCGGGGGGAGGTCAGTGGGCTCGGGTGGGGCCTGCTGGGGTGGCCGTGGCTGGTCTCCCCGAGCGGGACCCAGGGGATCGGCTCCAGCGCCAGAGTTCTCCCTTTCCGAACGAAACGTAGAGCTTCCGTGTCCCTGCCGAGGTCCCCGCCGCGGCCCAGCCCCGGGAGCCTGCATTACTCAGACGAGGACGTCACCAAGTACAACGACCTCATCCCGGCCGAGAGCAGCAGCCTGACGGAGAAGCCCTCGGAGATCTCGGACTCCCAGGTGAGGGGCGGCTCGCAGGGGCCGGGGCTCTCAGCTCGGCAGGGCTGGGGGGGCAGCACGCGCTCACGGCAGGGCCTGGCCGGAGGGCGAGAGGCGGCTGCGGCACAAGGGGTGGGGGGCAGGGGTCAGACAAGCCTCCCCACCCCATTCAGCCATTGGCCCCCCCGGCGGGAAAATCGCTCTGCACCCTGTGCCTGGGATCCCCAGGCTGGCTGCCCCCGTCGTCCCCCGCAATTCCTGTCCCCTCTGTCAGCTGCATCCCCTTGTCCTCATCACCTCCCCACTCCCTGTAAAGGGGATCGGGGACAGGAGTGTGTTCCAGTGCATGCTGGGAAAGGGAGGAACGAAACAGTTCCCCACCCCTGACTGATTCCTGCTAGAAGCCCCATTGCTGCCCGGGGTTCCCGCCGTGGGGCATGCCCCCCCCCCCCCCCCCGTTTGCGGGCATGGGTCACCCCCTGAGCACCCAGGGTTGTGGTTTAGCATCTCAGCTGGGCCTGACGGACACACAACTCCTGTCCCCTGGCAGGTGCCCCCGGGACTGTTTGTTCTGCCCCAGCTGGCACAGCCCATGGGCGGGGTCGGAGGCGTTGCCCTGTCCCCGATGCACCAGCGTGCCCCTCAGACAGCCAGACCCCTAGCAGGCTGCCCCGCAGCAACCAGCATGGCCAGGGCACAATGGGATCCTGGCTTTCCTGGTGTCGGAGGGGGGAGCGGGGGGGGAGCGCAGTGGGGGGTGAGCACAGATCCAGGAGGTTGGGATCTGAGCTGAATATACCCAGGGACAGTGGAAACAGGCCCTCGCCACGGGCTCTCTCCACGCCGGTATCACACCCCAGCTGGCTACCCTGCACTGCCTTGGAGCACGCCGTGAGCTGCCGGGTGTTTAGCCCGGCTCCCTGCAAAGGGAACAGCTGCTCCGGGACCCCAGGGCAGCCTGTGTCCCCGTCTGACCCCCCCTCTTTGGGCCATGTAGAGCAGTGGCCGAGGGTCCAGGCCAGGGTTCAGGGAGACCCTCTGCAGCGGCACGCCTGGGAACAGGATGGGGCTAGAGAGAGACCCCAGGAAACCACGTATTCCTCCAGGACCCCCCAGTACAGAACCCGCTTTCTCCTGGCCATGCGTTTCCAGGCGCAGATGCTGCAGCTGTGCTGGGACTGGCCCTTAACGAGGCCTGCGAAAACGAGCCCCTCTCCTCCAGTGGCCCTGGGGGCTGAGATTCAAATGGCTGCCTGGAATCCCCGCTCCATCTGGGAGACTTTGAGAGCCGGCGAGGCCAAAACAGATCTTGCCGCTCCCCTGGGCTGTGGAGCGGTCATGCAGCACCTCGCGCCGGCCACGTGGGGCTGAGCAGCGGGCCAGGGGACCCAGGCCTGCTAATCCCACTTCAGCCACTGTCTCAGCTGGGCCACTCAGCTCCCTGGTGCACTGGTTCTTCCCGCCCTGCGGGACCCTCGCTTGGGGGTGGCCAGTGCTGAGCGCGCCTAGGGACTAACCAGAGCCTCAGGGTACACGCAGGAGCAGCGGGGAGAGATGATGGGTCAGATCCTTCTGTCAGTGGCAGCCGGGCAAATCCGCGCTGAGTTGGGGGGGACATGGGGGGTGTAGCCGAGATCTCACTCTGGCTCGTAGCACCTGCTTCTCTTTTACACCAAGGTCCCTTTGGCCTTTCCCTTTACGCTACCGGAGCGTGGGAGTGGGAATCTGACCGACCGGCTCTTTCCTCCCTACGCCTTGGAGGGCTGTAGCTGCGCGACCGAGCGCTGGGAAGGGGCAGAGGGAGCCCGAGGCGGTGGAGACGCGGGCGCTGCGTGAGCACCAAGCCTGCCTGTGTACCCCCACGACGGGAGCGCCTGCAGGTGCCCCCGGAGATCAGGACCCCCCTGTGCCGCGCGCTGGGTGGCCCCGCACGGAGAGGGCCTCGCACTCGGAGCAGAGAAGACAAAGGCTGGGTTATTATTCCTGCAGGAGAGCTGGGGCCCCAACAGGTGCAGTGACGCTTACTCGGGCATCCGTGGCACAGCTGGGAATTCCCTGGCCGCTCCCATCACCTGAGCCTGGTGCAGGCTTGTGTGTCTCAGATCTGTGGAGGGGAACAGGCAGCTGAGGGCTTCCTGCTCCCCAGACTTTGCAGCTCTTCAGCAACCCCCGAGCTGCCCCATAGGCCTTGGCCTTCCCTTTGCCTGCAAAGTGGAGGCGAATCCAAGTTAACCCCCCCTTTGCATTGTCGCTGGTTGAGTGTCTTTGAGGAGCTGTAAGAGCTGAGCTCGCTGAAAGCTGTCACTTGATTGCTTGCCTGGCCGCCCGAGCTTCCTCGTGAATGGGGCCATTGTGCCTGGGGGAAGGGGGCAGCTGAATTCAATTATGGAAAGCAGAGGGCGAGTTGAAAGGAGGGACGTGAGCCAACCCAGCCTCTGCCTGAGCGCTTTCTTCTTCCCCCGTCCTCCCCGCCGTGCCCTCTGACAAACATAGCTCCGGCTGCTCCCAGAGATGGCGCGGAGGGGCAGCGCTGCCAGGGCTTGCGCTGGGACTGGTCATCGGGGAAGGAACGCCAGGCCGGGATAGGGTCTGGGTCTGGTTGTTGGGGAAGGGACACTGGTCCGCGGTCGGGATCTGGTCATTGGGGAAGGGATGCCAGGACAGGCCGGGACGGGTGCTGGATCTGGTTGTCGGGGAAGGGATGCCAGGCCGGGCGCTGGGTCTGGTCATTGGGGAAGGGACGCCAGGCCAGGCCGGGTGCTGGGTCTGGTCATTGGGGAAGGGATGCCAAGACAGGCCGGGCCGGGTGCTGGATCTGGTTGTCGGAGAGGGGATGCCAGGCCGGGATGGGCGCTGGGTCTGCTCATTGGGGAAGGGACGCCAGGCCGGGGCGTGTGCTGGATCTGGTCATTGGGGAAGGGATGCCAGGCCGGGCCGGGCGCTGGGTCTGGTTGTCGGGGAAGGGACACTGGGCCGGGGTCGGGATCTGGTTGTCAGGGAGGGGATGCCAGGCCGGGCCGGGTGCTGGGTCTGGTTGTTGGGGAGGGGATGCCAGGCCGGGACGGGCGCTGGGTCTGGTCACTGGGGAAGGGACGCCAGGTCGGGACGGGCGCTGGGTCTGGTCGTGCTCTATCACCAGCTTCCCCTAGGGCCCGATTCTGACCCTCCCTTACTCCAGTGCTGTTCCATGGAATCACTCTGGACTCACACCAGTGTATGGGAGACCCCGGTTCCCTGAGCTCTGTGGATACACAGGGAGGGGCTGCTGCCCACCTGCCCACCCCCTCCCCTGCCTGCAGGATGGGTGCGGTGGTGCAGGCTCTGATGTCATGTAGGATCACGGTTTCCAAGCTGCCTCTCACAAGGCCAGTGCCCAGTGGGCTGCTGGTGGCACTGCCCGGTGGGTGCCCCCTCAGCTCCTTCTGCTCACGCCGTGTCCTCGCGGGCATGTGCTTGTCGGGCCGGCTGAGTGCTGCGGCCGGGCACAGCCAGACCTGTAGTAACCCAGGCTCTGTCTCTGCAGGGGAGCGACAGCGAGTACGAAGTGGATCAGAACCAGCAGAAGGCCCACTCCTTCGTCAACCACTACATCAGCGACCCCACCTACTACAACTCCTGGCGGCGCCAGCAGAAGGGCATCTCCCGGGCCCAGGCCTACAGCTACACGGAGAGCGATTCCGGCGACCCCGACCACTGCCCCTTGTCCAACAGCACCAGCACCCAGCAAGGCAGCCTCTTCCGGCCCAAAGTCAGTAGGACCCCACCCCCCCAGCCGCCCATCACCCCCCCCAGCCAGCAAAGCACCCTGTACCGCCCCCCCAGCAGCCTGGCGCCGGGCTCTCGAGCCCCCATTGCGGGATTTTCTTCTTTTGTTTGATGGTTTCAAAAGAAATAAAGAAAAGCGAAAAAGGACAAGAAATCCCAAACCCACGTTTACGTCCAGAGTTATTTTTTCCGAGGCAAAGGAGACGTCCCGGCAGGGCAAGCCCAGCGCTGGCCGGGGAGAGACAAGCGGACCCGGTTCGGAGTCTAATCATTTGCTGCTTCCAGAGGCGCATGGAGCCCTATAGAAGGGGCACCCCCTGAAAGGACCTTTGCAAAAGCTTGCAGGGCCGAGAGTCCGTCTGTGGGGCACCTTCTCTTCTCTTTGAGGCTGAGGGGCGGAGAGGAAAGTTACAGGGTAAAGGACAGCAGCTGGCGAGCTCCCGGCCGACGCTGGTGTCTCCACAGGGCGCTGGCTCCTTGCGGGCGGGTTTACTCAAGGGCCTTTGCTGACAGGACAAACCCACCCCTTGTGGGCCAAAGCTTTCTTTGTGCGCTCCCTGAAAGACCAGCCAGCTAGCGTCCAGAGGAGCGGGGCGTGCAAGTGCCGTCGGCCAGCGTGGTCGCACAAGACTTCAACCGGCGAACCCACACCAGTGACCAACGGTGTCCTCGGCGCAGCACCGCAGAGCCTGACGTGGGATGGGAACGGTGCTGCTCTTCCGCTCAGCGTTAGGTGGGAACAACGCTTGCAGGCCCTTGCTTCCCAGTGGGCCGCAGACGTGCCCGATGGCCCGCGTGCTGGACGTGGGACCCGCTTTGCCAGGCTGCCCGCTCGGCTCGCCGGTCCCTCCTCTGCCAGTCTCCTCTCCTGTCTCCCCGTGACACGCCATGTCAGAGTGTGGAAAAGTGACAAACCAAAACACAAAGCCCGTAGGCAGCCATTTGGTTTGCTGCATTGGGGCGGGATATGGGGGGTGGAGAGTAGATTTGGGGCGGGACGGGGATGCTGGAGTTGTGATCGATTTACTTGAATCCTTCTGGAGGAGACATCCCCCTCCCAGCCCCCCTTATCCCTGGCGAGAAGCTGGGGAGGGGGCCTCTGCGGCCGAACTGCGCCACGGGGCAGGTGACCAGCATGGGGGCGTCGCTTATCGGCACGGCAATTCATTTCTTCCTTCCTTGGCCCCATCCTGGAGGGGGGGAGGGAAAGGAAAATGCCCCGGGGCCCGGGATGGTTGTGGGACGAGATGTACCCTCCACCTACAACGTGGTCCTCTCCCCCTGGCTTGGGACGGACGCCGCCCCTTTAACTCCAGCAGAACAGAGGGGGCGGGGTGGGGCTCTGCTGGCATGATGGATTGGCAGCCACAGTCTTTGTTTTGTGTTGTTTTAGTGCCCAGGTTTGGCGGGGGATGCGAGGGGAGGGGGCCAGAATCGGGATGAGGGGGATCGGTGGTGGTGGTTGTTTCCAGCATCGCAAAACACACACAGTGCCTACTCATCAGCTGGATCCCGAACTCCTCAGCCGTCTTCCCTTCCGCACGGGTGCGAAGTACGAGCTGGAGGGTCCGGCTGTCCCCCGCTGTGTCCCCGTCCTTCTGCGGAGGGGGGCCGGAGCTGTCACCGTGGTGATTAGCCCCACGTGCTCTCGCCCGTATTTGCACATTCTCGGCCCAGGCTGGTTGACAGAGGACTGAACCTGGTGCGTGGGGTCCCTTTAATAAAGACTCAAAAGCGCTGGAATCGTTTTTTGGTGTATTTCCTTCGCCCCAAAAACAGAGAGAGAGGCACTCAGAATGACCCTGTACCCTGCAGAACTTGAGAAAGGGATGGAGCTGGGATCACCCCGAACTTCCCAGCTGCCGGTCCCTTTTGCAGGCGTATTCCTGCAAGGGAGGGTGATGTGGGTAAGTAGTTGTGGCCCACAGGGTCTCTCTCGCCTCCGTTCAGGTGCGCGGAGAAGGAGCGATGGTTTCTGTGCAGGTGACTGAGAAATGGGTTATCCTGGGAAAGTGCTGGCCAGAAATCGGCTCTACAGTGCTGTCTGAGCGCTCCGGGCAGAGCTAGACAGCACGGTGGCTAAAATACCCGTGTCCCCCAGAGCTTTGGCTACACTAGAGCTCCCACGGGTGGAGCTTTACAAAGCTCAGCCCTCCTCCCATGCAGTGTCCTTGTGGAGAGCTCCATTAACTCCAGGGAAAACCCCTTCTGTCGCTGTAGGAAGCACCTACCCTACGGAGCTGTGCCGCTGTGGCGTAGATACCCTGTCGCCACGTCTCTACCTCCCCGGGATCACAGCTGTGCAGGAAAGAAGCGTCCAGTCAAACCCACAGCCCCCCTCATTGCAAGGCAGCTAAATCCTCATCCCCTCCGCTCACCACCACAGACAGGGCAAGTGCTGGCTGCTTCCCTTGAGCCCAGGATTTAATCAGCACCTTTTAATACCCTGAGGCCACTGAGCCTGGCTTGCAGGCCAAGGCGTGATTTGAGATTAGCCCAGAGCCAGGAAATAGGTAATAAAGAATCCCCAGGGGGCCGGCTGGGAGTTTAATTTGCAGATTCCAAACCCATTAGCAGCGGGGCTGGTTCCTCGGTGGGGTGAAGGGGTGTGTGTGGGGGGGTCACTCTGGATCCAGACAAGGAGCAGAAGGACCCAAAGCCGGCGGAGGTCAATGGGGTAACTCCCCGCACTGGAATCCGCTTGAGTGGTGAGGTCAGACCTTCCTGTGCAGCTGACACGCCAGTCCTAAAATCTGCCTTGCCAGAGCCGGGACTGGAAGAAGGACTAGCAGAGAGACAGAGGGTGCGCGTCCCATGGCGCGTGTCCTTTTTCTAGCTAGACAGGACTCAGCAGTGGATTAGAAAGTGGTTAACGGCCAGCTCACAAAAAGTCATTGTCAATGAATCGTCATCCGAGGGCGGGAGGGGGTTCTCGCAAGGATCCGCCCGGGACCCTTCAATAGCTTTATTAATGATCGGGAAGAAAATATAAAATCATTGCTGGGGAAGTTTGCAGGTGGAAGGTAAATGATGATGGATTTCGCGCTAAGGTGGCTTCTTTGAACACCGGGCATTTGAACACGGCCCAAGGCAAGGGCCTACATGGAGGAGCAAAGGCTGTAGGTTACACGGGGAGGGTGGGCGACACGACCCTGGAATGCAGTGACACGGAAAAGGACTTAGAGGTTCTGGTCGCAAGTAACTGCACATGAGCTCCTGGCGTGAGGAGGCCATACGTAGGGAAGTGGCGAGCAGGAGTAGGGCGGGGATATGACATTAGTGAGCCCATTTCGAGGACACTCTGTCCAGCCCTGGGGTCTGCACTGCCAGGAAGGTGGGTGAAAAACTGGCAAAGATTCATAGAATCATAGAAGATCAGGGTTGGAAGGGACCTCAGGAGGTTCTAGTCCAACCCCCTGCTCAAAGCAGGACCAATCCCCAACTCAATCATCCCAGCCAGGGCTTTGTCAAGCCTGGCCTTAAAAACCTCTAAGGAAGGAGATTCCACCACCTCCCTAGGATTCAGCAAAGTGCTACAGAAATGACGCCCGGTGTGGAAAACCTGCCTTAGGCCTGGTCTACACTAGGACTTTAATTCGGATTTAGCTGCCTTAATCCGAATTAACCCTTCACCCGTCCACACTACAGAGCCAGTTAATTCGAATTAAAGGGCCCTTTAAATCGATTTCTGTACTCCACCTCGACGAACGGAGTAGAGCCTAAATCGATTTTGTTAATTCGAATTAGGGTTAGTGTGGACCCACACCACCGAATTACTGTGTTTAAGTTAATGGGGTAGTGTGGCCGCACACCACCGAATTAATGTGGTTTAAAACCGAATTAAGGTGCTTAGTGTGGCCGCGCACAATCGAATTTATACAACCTGTTTCCCAAATTCGAATTATCTAAATTCGGATTAATCCTGTAGTGTAGACATACCCTTAGAAAGTCATCTGGGAACATCTCACCCAAGGAAGGGGTGGAGCCTTCGTCATTTGATGGCTTTAACTCAAGACTGGCTGTAGCGCGAACGGGAGGGACGGGCTCGAGGCAGAGGTTCTTGGCGGCGGGTCTGTGGCCTGTCACGCAGGTCAGCCCAAATCATCCTAAAGGGCCCTGCTGCCTGGCAGGTTGTAAGTATTTATTTGCATTTTGGGTTTGCCTCCTGGGAGCTCCAAATCGGCTGCGGAGCCGCGCGTTGGAAGCGCTGGGAAAGAGCTGGGATTTCTATTTCCGCTGCCTTTCCTCTTGTTTCCCATCCGCTGGAAACTGCGCTGAGCAGCCTACTCTTCAGTCCAAGCAGAGAAGATCCCAGCTTGTGTCTCGTCCTGCCCTTTGGCGCCTGCTCGTGCTGGCGTGAAGCCCCGGCCCGGCCCCTGAGAGATCCCTGCCGACCCACCCATCCCTAGCCCCCATGGGCTGCAGACCGGCGAGCGGCGCCTCCACCCAGAGCCTGGTGGCCTCCTTGGAAGGTGGTGGTGCTTATGGGGCAGGAAAGCAAACAGCTGGAGCCCCCCACCGCCGCGTTTCCCCACTGCCACTAGCCGGTGGTGTGTGAAGGGGGGAAAGGGGCTTTAACTCAGGTGTGGGCTGAGCCGTTGCGCGTCATGACCAAGTTTGACTGGAAAAGTAGAAGCCTAAAGGGAGCCCAGAAGGACGTTGGTGACGCTGCCTGAGGATGGGGGGCCTGGAACCGGCTGCCGAAGCTGCCTCGGCACAGGCCCCCTTTATTGGCTGTCCGGCAGGATGCGTTTGCAGCTGGACTGGGATTTAGGGGGGCCACACGTCTCCTTCCTTCCAGCCCCTGCTTTCAAAGGCCAGTCCCAGGCCTGGGCGATTGTGCATCCAGGCTGGCCCCGTCCCTGGATTAAACCCTCCTGCGAGGCATTCGGGGGGGAGGGGACAGAACGGCAGGGGAAATGCAATGCCAAGTCCAGCGTGAGACCAATCCCAGGCCTCCCCCTCCCCCTCCCCCTCCGAGCGCCAGCCTTGTGGCCACTGCACTGAGCATCTGCCGTTTCCATGGCAACACATCTGGAGCGGCCCTCGTTCATCGCCGCATCCCAGCCCAGGTCGCTTGGTGAAAGCGCCTCCCCCAGGCCCTTTCCAGGGGTCCCCGGGGGCTGCTTTCCAGCTCTGGGTAAAGCCCGATTCTCCAGGGAGGCCTTGCTGCTTTGATGTCTCTGCACTGCACATACAGCCAGAGCCCGGCTGCAAGCGCAGTCACTCGACAGGCACCGGCCCACGGCCGCTACGCTGCTTCTGCTACCCGGGTGACATCCAGCCCGTGCAGAGAGCTGGCCCAAGGCCTATGCGCTGCTTAACGCCTTGGGCTGGCCCTCTGCCCTGGGCTGCACTGCACCCCGAATGAGCGGCACGGAGACCCCGAGCCCAACTGCTCCGGCGGGAGAGCTTGGAGCAGAGCGGCTGCATCTGGGAGCGGTGCCCAGTCCGAATGCCGCAGGCAGCTCATTGCCGCTAGGACTGGCTCTGTGCTGGGACCTCTGTGTTGAATTTCGCTCTTTGCTGGTGCCGACAACCTCTGGGAAAGTACAGGGCGAGGGGAAAACCTGACCAAAAGGTCCAGATGGTGTTTATAGTGTATCTGCACACACCCACACACGCAGAACTGTCTCACTGGCTGGAGCATAAGACCTTGTGAGCGCCACTCCCCTGGGAGGTCCCGCTTTCTGCGACCGTGCCATCGCTGCTCAGCCGGATACGGAGAGGATTTCTGCCCAAAAGCATTGTGACCCCCGGCTCACCGTCAGCATTGGCTTCGGTGTCCGTCCAACCCCACCACCGGGATGCTTCATCTTTTTATTTAAAATATTGCAACTGGCGACGGCAGGGTTCGTTTTGACCCCTCTTCCCCATCAGGTGATGGGCTGATTGCTAGTGCCCTGTGTCTGATGCTGCCTGAGACAAG